TCAAATACTCAGCCGAATTAGCGTTATTTTCAGAGCTCTGATTTAAAACACACATAGAGAATGAACGGAAGCGAAATTCAAAAAACCCTACGGACAAATTTTAGATTTAGGTGTCTATTTTTATTCACGACCGCCCGCGGCTTTCTACTCTTTCTACCAACATAGGCTATACATTTTTCCTAAGAGCCCCATTTTGCCCGTTGTCGGCCAATAACACGGCAACGCTTCAACATTTTGTGCCCAAATCTTTAGCATCGGTTACGTGCACAGTAAGTATTAATTCCTGTAAGCGCCATCGAAATCGGATGTGAAATAAAAAAGTTTTTTTCGCTGGGGCGGGGGGGGGCCCTTAAAGTCAATAGTAAAAGTCATTTATTTTGTTCTGCATCACTTGACAATTTTTTAACGATAAATTTACTGATTGAAACTGTCTGGCGTTTTGTTGTGTGTCCGGTGGGCCATAAAGAATAAGCCTCTCAGTATTATCTCTTGATACTTCAGTCCCCTAGAGTTCATTCTTTTTTCAAAAGATACGCTGTTCAATTCTATACACGATCGTATATAATAGTCTGTTAAAAGCCAGAGTCTGAGTTTTGATCGATGAAAAGCAACAGTTGCTCAGAAGCCTCAACTTTCTAACGCAAAAAGACTTTTTTTCAAAACGGAAGTCAAACTTTCTGGTTGAATGAGTCTAAAATATAGCTCTTGAAAAATTCTATCAACTGACTGATACGAGAATTTTATTTCATTACTTTGACTTTTTGATACAGGATTTACGAAATGGTACAAATCCACTTTTTCTCACTTTCGAACACGCAGTTTGGCACCTTCTAGTAAAATCGCTATAAGTAAGACAAAATTGAACCAAACAAACTCATTATTGCGTCATCTTGTACAGAAATGTTTTCTCTACTAGAATAATAAGGCAAGAGCCGATTATGTCGCTTATCAAAAATTGTCGATGCTCTCCTTCGAAAATTTTCACGATTTGGTAAGTAAAATTATCAATCAAAGATTTCTGCTTCGAAAGTCAACGGGAACAGCTTGGTTTTGATTCCATCGGAAAGAGCACTCTTGGTAGTACAAGGCAATATCTAAGTGTCAGGTTAGACAGCCACTAGCATGGTTATAGTGTGGATCAAGTTCATGAAAAAACTTTTACAAAATTGAGGCTTCTGGATAACTGTTGCTTTTCATCGATCAAAACTCAGGCTTTGGCTTTTAACGGACTATTATATACGATCATATATAGAATTGAACAGCAGATCTTTAAAAAAAGATCTTTTCTGATATTGTCTATTAACTGTTTTATTTAATTCTGCTGACCACTAATTCACTTGAACGTTTTTGCTTTTTATTGACAATTACTGATCGTGTTGTTTTTAAAGGCGTCATATTTGGCTTCAAGTGCGCGGATATCAAAATTAATAGATTACCATTAACGATTGAAACAACGAAAGAATACTTACTTACTATACAACATCAAAGCAGGTATAGTCGATGAATGAATCGATCCATTGGCAACTTGATATATTTGACACTTGATTTTTATTAGCTAGAAAATGTATCAATAGTTGTTCGAAATATTTATCTCACAGATATAGCTTCAAAATAGTCTGTTCAAGGATATAATAGTCAGTATAATGGACAAATAAACAATATAGATAGGACACTTCTCTGAAAATGTTATCTCTCCATTTCTCTTATCGGAGATGTCTTGACCAGAATGACTTTGTGTCTAATAAGAGTCTCGATGCATTTCCGGTGCCTTGAATGCGACTAAGTGTCTTGGCCGTAGCTAGTGCCTTGTGACTTTTTGATACGTTAGTGATGTCTATCGAAAACACCTAAGCTATTTTTTAATGAAAAACGAGTAGTGATTTAGAGGTGTTTTGTCAACACGTCAAAGTGACTAACAGTAAAAACGATGAGAAAATACGCCTTATGTGCCCTCATTACGCGCGTGGTATGCATTTTGAAGCCATCAGGGTGGTTTATCAAGACACTTTCTTTTGACAGTGCGCCCGGTTACCAAGCTGGTAAACCGTGAGGTTATTGCTATGTGGTTAATGTGGTTATGTGGTGTTTTGGTTTACAATAAGAGATATGAGTAACTTTTTAACTTTTCTTGTTTTTGTCTGATGACATAACCGGAGTTGGTTTTTAAAGAAATATGTTTAGATTTTATTAGTGTTACTAGTATTAGTGGACAAGATGATTTGTTACTGGAACGAAACCAACGATACTAATAAAGAAAGTAAAAGAAATAAATACAGAATATATAAATCCGAGTGATTGATTCATTTAATACTTACTAAACACTAGCATCATACTCAACAAATAAGTCAGTCCTTTTGTTCTTGAAGCATAGAGCATGAAAGAAAGAACCATTGCACGTGTCTCTTCATTGCATACGTATGAATACAGACATTGAAGCAAAACAAGGTTTTATGAGAGAAAGTTGCGTACCCAAAAATTTCACGGAGGGTGGGCCAGCTAACTAAATACTTTTAAGCATAGATAAAAAGCATTTTCTTAGAGAGAGCTACAGGTAAAAGTCTTCTAAGGGATAAGCCATGGTCCAGTTCTGCGTACGTGACTGGATGAGAGTCCGAAGAGAATTAGGGTGCGTAAAAGAGTAGCAGAAGAAAGATGCGTATGGAATGATGGTACTGTGAAAAGTTCAAATTCTTATTTTTTCATCGACGAATCTACTTCAAGACACGACAAACGATTTTTCAGTTTTTACAGTATAAATTAATTTCCAAATTCCGAGGTGGTACTGCCTTCGCGGGCTATGGGCAAGATTTCTCAATACCTTGAATCTAAAAGCTCGGATAAGTGAGTATGATTTCGGCTCAGACTTTGTTTTGATTACCCCAGAAAAAAATTTTGATGCCGCATTTGGAAAAAAGTTTTGGCATGGGTATCGCATCGACGCACATCGCATACTATGTTTCAGGTACATTGACAAAGATCGATACGCACGTGTGTCACGTCGATGCCATTTTCGATGCTCATAAACAATGCCGCATCCATTAAATCCAATGCCGCAAAATTTTTTTAATTTCAGCATCGGAACAGAGCACACATAAGCCAAAGCAAAGCCATTAAACGTTTTTGCATGTTGTCCGCCATCTATCGAAAATGAAACACGAATACATGCAAAAAGGGATTCCTGTGCGATAAAAGGTACCTATTTCCTTTCTGTGTCTGTGTTGCATACATACGTACATTGTATATGCATGAGTGCGTACATATCGAATACAAAAAGAATACGTGCTTTTCTGTATATGATTTTCAAATTGTGCCATACTCATTGCCATCTCGGATGTGATCTACCACGGCAAAAAATTCTGCTAATTGTTTGCGTTCTCAGGTAAATATTCGCACAAATCCGCCTTGAATTTTCGTTTCTCTCTACTCTGTGTAAAGAACAAATAAATCAAATTTACTTAAACAATCGTGCGATACAATATAACATTAGTTGAGAGGGAGTAAGATATCTACTTCTATTATTAACTGGCGTTAATGTACTATTAACTTCTATTCTATTCTTTAGCAAAAAGTAGCGCTCGTCAACATTGTAAATTAGAACGTCTGAAGTAGACTTTTCGTTCCATTTTATAATAATTCTTGAACCAAGTCTTTGTATATCAAGAATTATGGGAGGAAGAAGAAGGAAGAATACCCCGCCTTGCGACTACCGTTAGCGGTGCTGACTAGAGATCTGCACGGGCAAGATTTTTTGGCCTGTGCCCGCCATGCTCGTGGTCCTATCGAGAGTGTTTGTCCATGCCCGTCAGTGGACTTTTTTCCCTGCCTGTGCTTGTCCGTGCCCGTCCGTGAAAGCGCTTGAAGAGCAAGAAGAAAGCGGTTGCCCGTCCGTGTCTTTTTCGAACCTGATCGTGGGGTAGCACGGGCATGCCCGCGGCTACGGGAATTCCCGTGCAGATCTCTGGTGTTGATGAATGGCAGTTTCAGCTTCCCGATAACTTCTGAAATGGTTACCCATCTCGTTACTAGTGATCAACCACAGCTCTGACCAGAAGACTAGCCTGACGTAGAGTTCTTTCGCCCAATTATTTGAGCTCCCCATACACACTTCACTAACCACGTACTAGCTTTCCGGAAAGCCACGAGGACTAGCCGGAAAGCTGTATTGTACGTCATAACGTAGTGAGTATGTTGGTAGACAGGTGTCCGCGGCACTAAGACAAAAGTAATTTACCCAAGATTATTACATGACTTTGCTAGTGCCGAAGTTCGAACACAGTACCTTTGTAGTACGTGACGAACAACATAATCATCAAGTCATGCTGCTCCAAGAATTATGACCATGTAACTTTTCTCTATTGCACAGTTCAATTATTGCTGTCATAGTCAATTCTGTTTCTATGGGAATACGGCATGCAGTTGGTTAAGACGTTTAACATAAAAATGCTTTGAGATATAAAGTAATGCTTCTAGATGGATCGTTTTTCGGTTAAGATTTCTAGATGTTTCGAGGACAAGAGAGTTTTTCGTAGAATTTTCTGTATTGATTTTAATCTGTTTCGTTTCCAGTTATGGATGTGGATCATATTAATTACCAACAAGACTTACAAAATGCGATCAATGATGATAAACAACATCAAGAAGCATCAAAGAGTCAAACAGTTGTCGAGCAAAATTCAGGTGAAACTATTCTCAATGGTGATACTACTATTACTCCTTCAAAAGATGATATGAAAAATAATGACCATGGTGTACTCTTAAGTCCAAAAGATAAACGACAACGAACAACAACATTAGTTGTCATGGGCCTCATAGCACTTATGACGGGTATTCGAAAGAAGTCTACATAAAAAAATGAACTTGTAATGAAATGAAAATTATTTAGGTATTGATTATGCAATAATTCTACCTACTGCATGGGGTTATATTAACCAATATATGGTTGCTCACTATAGTGGTTTAGTGATGGGTAAGGATGAATGTCTCAATGATAGATTCAACATAGTCGAAACTATAGTTCAAAACTTCAATTTTGTTTTTTAGGAGCAGTATTATCTGTGTTCGCCTTTTCGGGTGCAGTTTCTGGTATTGTATTAGGATATTTGAATGATATAGGCTATCGTCTTAAACGTTTAATACTGGTTGCGTTCTTATTTAAAATTCTTGGAAATATTTTATATTTTCTTGGTATTAATGTTTACGTTATCGTTATTTCTCGACTAATTACGGGTATCGGTATGGGTGTGGTGCCTCCTCTTCTAGCCGAAGTATCGCGTCGTTCAATGACTGCGAGTCCTACACGATTATTAGCAAAAATATTAGCATGTCGTCAAATCGGCCTTTTTCTTGGACCATGCTTTACTTTGGTAATGACACAAATGAATTTTAAAATTGGATCAAAGGTTGTGACAATGTACAATGCACCAGGACTAATTATGAGTGTGTTATGGTTCATCATGGAAATAATCGTAGTATTCTTCTATTTTGATAGACCTAACACCGTAAGTGTCAATTTTGAATCGAATCTGCCCTGTAATGATATGTTTTGTAGGAGATTATCTACCTTCATTGTTTTTCTTCTTTAGACAAGTGAGATTAATGATGGAACAGCCGGTAGTATGCTAACAGCGATTCATAACAAAAAAACAACAGTTCCAAGTATTTTACGTCAGTGCTATAATATATGCAAAAAACCACCAATCCTTGTGTTACTCACTGCTAGTTTTGTGGCATACTTCAACCAAACTGCTCTAGAAACAACACTTACACCATTTACCACTTATCAATTTGGTTGGCATGAACTACAAGTGTCAATATTATTCGCCATAGCCGGTATCGAAATAACACTTGTTTATGTTGCCTTACATTTTGCATCGAAAGCATTTTCTGAACGTGCTATTTTACTTTTTGGTTTTATTATTTTATCTATCGCGTGTTTGGTTGGTGTGGTTATTCTTCCGTTTTCTAAACCCGGATCGACAAAATTCTTGCCTATATTTCTTGTATTCGTATTTCTTGATATATTAGCTTTGCCTCTACTCGTTGTGACATCAACAGCAGTATTTATGCTATTAGTTAAAGATGAAAATCAAGGTTTAGGACAAGGAGTACAACGATTCGTAATTAGTGTCGCAACAATAGTAGGTCCATTATATGCTGGAGGTTTGTTACAAGAAGTGTTTACTATGCTATGCACAATGCTAGCCATCGTTGTGTTCACTATGTTTTTAATTATCATTACTTATAAAAAATTCAAACCAAAAGATGTTAGCGAAGAATCAATGGCACTTATCCAACAATCATGATTTCAACTTTTTTAATTTGTTGATGCAGAAAAGCAACGAAGATGATGGACTTAAAAAATGTGTGGGACCGGAGAGATTGAAAAAGTATGAAAAACTGTAACATTCATCAAGGAACAGGCATGATTAATCGAATCCTAAAGAATGATCGAAATCCTTTTAACCGTAGATAACTGTTAATGTCATATCACCGATAAAAAAAATTAAAGTTTGTTTAGAGTTAAAGAAAAGTGCTTTTTCGAATTCAGCACACTTGATAACCTGAAAAATTTTCTATTTTTAGCGAGGGATACCGTCAAAAAGTTAAGAAAAATTTTCAAACAAATTGACGCAGAAAAATCCTCATGGTAAAATTAAGCAATTTTAAAAATTTTTCTTAACTTTTTGGCGGTACCCCTCGCTAAGAATAGAAAATTTTCCAGGTTATCAAGTGTGCTGAATACGAAAAAGCACTTTGCTTTAACTCTAAATGAACTTTAATTTTTTGTCGGTGATATGCTCGCAAAAAAAAATAGAACCTCATTAGGTTGCGATATGTAAACAGATCAGTATTGATTACTTTTTGTTATCCTCTCTTTTTACTTGTAAGATCACATCCACAAGTGTGTCTCTAGGGTTTCGATGAAACCTGTTATAGATAATAAAGCAGAGTGTGTTGATCACAAATAAAATGCTTCTAGGGTTATTCCACGGGAAGTGAGAAGTCTACCGCGTTTACATTCCATGTCTTCGAGCATGATAAAAATGCCGGGACACGATGATCTTGACTGGAAAAGAGTATTTATCACAAAAAAATTCAAGTAAATATCGGCGCCTTGGTTTCCCAGTCGGTGTGAGATACCGATTTTCGGTTAAAACTGACGCTTTTGAGATATGATTTTTCCGTTAAGAATGCATTGGTAACTGCATTTTCAGTTGTACCCGTGTTCTCCAAGTTGTGTAGCGTCGAAAATTATCTTTCAATAAAAATTTAGATATACGGATAATAAAACTTACAGAATATAGACAGTCTATCATAGCGAATCGATCAAAAATACTTTCGACCGCCCTAATATCTTCAGAGGATGTTCAGAAAACCTTTTAGCTTTATACTGAGGTGCTGGCAATTCAAAAGTTCAGCAAAAACTTTTTTCGGTCGGAAATCAACAAAACATTTTGACATATGTACCATTCGACTCGACTTATAATATTTATAAATTTATTCGCCTATTTATAAAAAACTAGTATTTTAAAATTTCATATCTTAAGCAGTATACCTATCCTCATAAGAGATGTGCACGGATACCATTTTTCTACCCACTCCCAATACGAAAACGGTTTTCGCTCGTACCCGAGCCGAGAACTTTGTATCCGTTCTCGACCCGTACCGTACTTACGCCTGAAAATTTTCTCCGTCTCGTTTTCCAACTAAAAACCTTTGTTCAAAAATTATTGCAATAAAGCTACAAACTAATCTAAAATTGCAACTAGATAATTAAGTAGATTAAACATTTCTCTACAAGATGAAAAGTGTCTCGGCTCTAAACATTGATTCCTTATGAAAATACAGCTGTTGCACAAACAGCCCAAATAATCGATCTTAGGACTATCTGAAAAAGGTGTCTAAGAGAGTGAAGACGAGCAGGCGAAAATTGAACAAGTATATCAGTTTATAGAAACTCTTTGCTCTACAAGATGTGAAAGCTTTTTAAGTTCGAAACTATTCTAATTAATCTGTATTAATCAAAGAAAAGCCGTGACGCTATCACAACGTCCTCATAGGTTCATAGCTGGGGCGTAAAATAATCTTCAATCGATAGCTGGAGAAGAGATTTGAAAAGTCTAGCCGAGAGCTTAAAAATGTCCAAACTGGCAAAAGGCGATGAGAAAAAGAATGACTTTGAGAGAAAACGCTGCCAAATTATCCTATAATCGTTCAATGGAGGTGTGTCGAAAGAAAAAAGCAGGAGATAGAACATACTTTTTTCCAAGAAAGGTGCCTCGCTTGGAAGAATTTTTTTAAAAATAAAAGTACGAGGATCAAAAGATCGTGTCTCTCAAAATACACGGGAGAATGCCAGGGAGAAAAACTCACTGACCTCCGCACACACAGTTGGCACGGACCCGGCTGTTATCTGTGAAAGAGAGAAATTGGCGATTACTGCAACACCAGCCCTGTCGAAGGTAACCAATAGCTGTTGTTATACTATTAGCTTGTTGCTTCGGTCTACCATTGTTCTTGGTGCAATGCAAGTGTACACAAACTTTGTATAAGAAACACTGTTTAATGAATCTTATCTTGTTCTTTTATGATCACCTCGTCAACGATATTGTCCAACTATGAACTGATGAGTTTTCGTCATTACAAATTACTGACTAGCTCACCATTGCCGATGATATGTTTTAGTCTTTTAACATCACAAAGTCATCGTGGACGAAATTCATTTTATCCAAATATGTTTCATGAAATGGAACCGATTAATATTTATTCAGTTGTTATCGCTCAGACAGGTAAAAAATAGTTTCTTTGGCATTTATCTAAAAATCAAACATATTTGGACTTCCAGTTTCCTTATGGTATTGAATTAGAGTATTGAATAAAAAGCTTTGCTTTACCAGAGATACCTGACGTATCTTTTAGATAATTTGTAATACTGTTGTTGTTTTTCTCGATTTCAAACTATGTCATTGATCAATGGTGTTATGGCACATATTAAACACGTGTAAGAGAGAATTGTATGATAGGTATCATACATGTATATAGAGTCGTATGCCGCAATTAGAACACGAAAAATTTCAAGTTGACTCTTTTCTAATTTTTGAAGCTATTTCTAAAGGTGGAAAAAGCATTTTTAGTTTACCGAGTAGAAGAGAGTCAGGGCCATCGTTATAAATACATAAGTTAAATTTTATTCTTCTACTTCCTTAACTCACGAATATTTTCGTTTTAATACGATCTTCTTATATATCGTACCCTTAACGGATTTTTCTCATGTTGAAAACGGTGATTCATACAAATACAGTTACTGTCTGACATCATTTATTTATAACATTTTAGATTATTTGTCTTAAAAAGATATTTAATTTCTGTGAAGCGCCAATCAGACATACACAAAATGAATACAGGAAGAAATCGTGGTGCACAGCGTACAAAGGGCGATTTAAAAGTATAGTAAAATAAACATTAAAAAAAATTGCTTATTCAAAGAAATGGAGTTTCTTCATTCACAATTTTATCAGGTATTTTTTCCACTATTGCTTAAATATTGAAAGAAATAGTTTCAATAAGCAAATCTATGTTTATGGCAGAAAAGACGATCATTCAAATATTATTTGTTTTAATCTATGTGTTTAGGCAATATAAACAGTATGTCAGCAAACCAAACTAATTTCGACGAAACAGATTATGATCTTGATCCAGAACGCTGACCGAAGGGAGTCGTGAGCATTGTCTTGAATTTAATAATATATTTTAGACCTTTGCGGTTTTTGGAGAATCTCGAGAAAACTTTTTGTTCTTTTGTGCAATGCAAGTGTACACAAACTTTGTATAAGAAACACTGTTTAATGAATCTTATCTTGTTCTTTTATGATCACCTTATTTCTGCTGCATACGGCATGGCGAGTAAAACGATGAATACGTTTGGTCAATTGTTCAGTCAGAATCTATTGAAAGCATCACAGACATTCTTTGATCTGTCAATGATATTGTCCAACTATGAACTGATGAGTTTTCGTGATTACAAATTAATGAATGGCCCACCATTGCCGATGACCATTTGTTAGGTCCGGTATACGTTATTGTGTATAAGTAGTTTATTTAGAAACTGAACACCATCTCTTTTGCACAAAAATAGCGTATATTTATATCAAAGTTTACACGAAAAGCCGAGTTGATATACTAGACTGGGAAACTGGGGATATATGCAAGCGATCACAGAAAATAAAGAAACCAAGAACTAACACTGGGAAAATTCCTGATAGAACGAAAAGAACTAACACTGGGGAAATTCGTCGTAGGAAGAAAGAGAACGAAAAAGATACATATAGTAGACAATAAGAAATAACACTGGGGAAATTCCTGACAGAAAGAAAGAGAACGAATATTCGAATATTCGAAAAAATTGATTTTCTCCATGAAGAAGCAATATTTTGCAAAACGCATCCGACTCTTTTTTTCCTACATGTGTGTAGATTAGAACGTAATAAGAAAGAATACTTGGTTCTTTAAGAGAGGTTTTTTGAACGTCGAGGAACCCCATAACATGGCCAAAATTGACATATACTTTTGATGATTTGTATTCGAATCACAATTACAAGTTTTTCCGATTTTTCACAGGCTAAAACTGGTTTAAAATCACAATAAAGGTGATATTCAGAATCATCATCAAAAACTGCATCCATTGATGTGTACTAGATATATTTTGAAGAGATGCTGTGGTACTTTTTTCATTCGGGTCGAATTTCTCTGTCGATGACGTTAGTTTTTACGTTGAAAAGATGAAAAACGATGTTCTATACGTAGTTTTATGGAGAATTAGGAAAAACGGTTTTCAAACTATAAAATTAAACTAAATTAGAAAATTTTTGTTTATTGAAAATTTCATTAAAATTAGTCTGTTTATAAAAAACTACCCAGGTCGCAGGAAATGAGACATAAATGAGACATACATGTCTCATTTATGATATGAAGTGAAAATGATCATATGATAATCCTAAAATGATTTAAATATAAGCTTAAAATGATATCATATTTGAATCATTTTAAGACCATTTCATAAAATGATATAAAAATGATGTATATATGATATAATTTGTAAGAATGATCTAAATATGATCCTAGTATGATCATCTAAAAATGATCTATTTATGTATCATTTTTATATCATATCTCTAGGATCATAGATGTAACATTTATGTGTCATTTTTAAATCATTTTAAACTTCTAATCTAAAATCATCATTTTCTTACAATTATATTTGTCACATTTTATGATCATAATTAGATCATATCATTTATGTGTA